CCAAGTCTTACGTTTTTAACCAAAAAAATCAATTTTTTTGATTTTTAATCAAATCTAACGTAAAAAATGATTTTTTAATCATAAAAACGTCAAGTCTGACGTTTTTAATAAAAAAATCAATTTTCTTTATATTTAATTATAAAAATGTTTGATGACCCGACCCAAAATTTTCAAGTCAATCTGACAGTATAATGATTATAACTCACTAATAATTACCAAGTTACTCTAGTTGTTATGAAAATTATAAAGCTTACCTCATTTTTGTATAAACTTCAAAAAACAGTATATAGGTCACGGGAGATTTACTATTAGCTCTACGCACTTCTTCAGGGCCGGCACTATGTAATGCTGGTCGGAATGATCCACAAATGGAAGCGATCTTCATAATTTGGCTCATTCCAGGACCTGACCTTTCTATGTAAAGCTTGGGGTCCTCATTAGACTGGATGATAATTAAAAATAAATATATAATAATTGTGAAACAAAGAATTTTAACAATCAATTATTAGCTGATCAAATTGATTGCCAATATTTATATTTATTATTTTAAATGCAAAGAAAAGTTGGTAATAATCATCGTTGTTAGATATAATTCCAGTAACTCAGTCATTTACTTTCCAACAAAGTATATTTATGATTAATGAAAATTTTTAAAGCCTTAATAAATTTCCGTTATTGTAGACAAAGAAAATTTAAACGAAATTAAACTACAAAAATAATAACAAATTTTATTTTTTATATTCAATCTTCAATTTACTAACTTCATTTCTTTTAGCCTTACGCGACTTTTACTAGAGTTTCACGAGCGAAATTTTCCAAACTTGCTTTCATCTTAGATTGTAAATCCTTCCGGAATATGAGTTTATTTTTATCTATTTTTTTGGTATTCCCCGATCTATTCTTAAATATAATTCTTCTCTTCCTGAAAGAAAGATGAATATAAATAAAATGAAAGCCAAACTAATTCAATTTTTTAATTAAAAAAAAAAGAACAGAAATGTAATTCAATTTAAACTTACAGCGAGAATAAAGTATGTTACGTCAACTAAATTTTACAAAATAAAAGTTTATTTACTTTTTTTTTTTTTTAAGAAATAAAGTAATAGAAATAGGTTAAATGGCTTTTCCATTATAACGATTAAGCCAATTCTACGAAAAGATTCTTTGATGATTTTTTCCATTTTTTCCTTATAATTTTCTCTTCTTAAATAGTAAAAATAAATAGTTTAATTTTTATTCTTACATACATCTTCATCTATTGTTTTATCTATATTATTGGCATGTTTTTTTAGTAGTCATCAATTTTTTTAGCCTTCTGTTTTGTGATTAAAACTCGTGGCCTTAAATTGTGTAAAGCTCTGCATGAGCCGGCTCGAGCTGAGTAGAGCCAAAATTCAAGCCAGCTTAACTCGATTATAATTGGCCGGACGAGATTTTAAATATATAGAATGATCAGCTGATGATCACATGCGCAAATCATAACTCGTGAGCCAGCTCGAACCAATTGATTGCGAGCCGCTGCTCGGCTCGGCTCACTCTACCTGGTTCGAGAGCTGTCTCGAGCTGGCATGGCTCGTGTGGAGCATTACATTTGTTGGTCAAACCTTTTTTGGCCAGCAATTTTTCATGGTTATTTTTTTTTTTTTAAAAAAAAAAGTCAATTAATAAACAGGAGTGTTTATTCATAATAATTACATATAAATTTGTCATTATTACAACCTGAAACTTTATTCAAATGCAATGGCTTTTTTTGATTGTTAAATTATAGTTTGAGAAACGTAATTTATTTAGTATTTATTTAGTATTAAAAAAAAAACTGTTATTAAGTTTTACACATCCTTTTTTGATTATAATAATTTTGAACAATAGAACGTTCCTTTTTTGATTGTGAAATTTTTGTACAATCAAATTTATTCCTTTTTTGATTGAATAAAGTTTTTGTCCGACATTTGATTGTTATTAATTAATCACGTAATCAAATTGTACTCGGTGATGGATCACGTGATAGAACAATGACCATTCAAAAGCTACTAAACATAGTTAAATAACTTTTCTTCCGATGTTTATATATTATATTTTGAACTAAAAAGAATGTATAAATACTGTATCGAAGAATTTTATTTATTTTTTTTTTTAAAAAAAAAAAATATGGTCGAACCAAAAAAGAAACAACAGAAAAAGTTACAAACGAAAAAGATAAAAACAGAAAAGATAGAATTAGTACGTATTAATTTTTTGAAAAAAAAATTCTTTCCAATTCATCGTGTTTTTTTATTTTATTTTTTTTTAAAAAAAAATTCTCGTAGTTTGATGATGAGATTATAAGTGCTATGAATGAATATAAAAATGAACCTAACCCATATATAAAGATTAGTAAAAAAATCAATAAAGGATTTACCTCAAAACAAATTCGTCAGCGGTAAATATTAATTTAATTATGATTTAATTTTTTTTTTCGTAAAAATTTATTTTATTTTATTCATAATTTAGTTGGATAAGTCAACTCGATCCACGTCGTAAGTAAATTTTACCTTATTTAAGCTTTCTTAAATTGATTGTGTAATTTGATTTTTTTCTAGTCTGTCACAATGAACTCGATGAGGATGAAAGATCATACATCAATGAATGGGTTAAAGAATATAAAAACCAGAATCCATCTGATAAAATTTGCTGGACAAAATTAATTTTAAAGATGGACAAAAAATTCGGTAAATTACGTACCGAAAATAGGGTGAAAAATTTTTGGTACTTAAAAAAAAGACAAGAAAGACGACGAAGGCAACTACCTTCAAAAGTTGATGCATCATCTTCCCCTCAAGATAACAACATCTTAAAAAGCGTGTCATTTTGTTCTCAAGATAACAACATCCCAAAAAGCGTTTTATTTTGTTTTCAAGATAACAACGTTCCAACAACCATATCGCCTTCCCCTCAAGATAATAATATTCCGACAGTATCACCTTCACCTTAAGATAATAAACGTACTAAAACGCGTATCAAGCCAAGTTTCTGACAAGATGAAAATCAAAAATTTTGTTAATTTAGTAAATAATACACCCTAATTAGCATAAAAAAACAATCATGTTGTTTTATTGTATAGGATAGAAATACTTATAAAATTATTATATATTTTAATCAACAGATTTATTATGTGAAAATGAATTAATAGAAAGTCCAACATATTTGCAAATATTAAACTCTAGAAATAAAAAAATCTTGATAACATGAAAGTCTAAAGAATAAAATTCGCATTTCTTAATCACGCAATCGATCAGCGTTACATTATAAACTTCAAGTGAAATTATTTACATCATATTCGAATATCTAATTCGTAAATACTCTTATCTTTTGTCTTAAAACTACATATAACTAATACATGCCTGTAACAGAATTTTAAAATTACAACTCCTTTAAACGAAATTAATGAAGTAAACCGATCATATTTTATATTATAAAAACCTGACATTTTTCAAAATTAGAATATACTAATGTATTTTAAGATGTAAGAAAGGTGATCAGATCGTTTACTTTCTAACAATAATGAAAATTTTAATTTATAATTGATTGAAGAGAAATTCTTTAGTGTCTTATAATAATAATAATTGCCGTAATTGTAAACAAGCAAAAAATTTTAACGGTTTGTTCTAAATACGTTATTTATTTACTTTTGGATTTGAAGAAGTATAATTAAAAATATAAAAGTTACAAAAAAAAACATTATAACTACAAGTTATTAAAAAATATAACTGAAAGCTAAAAAAAATATAATTAAAAGTTATAAAAAAGAAAGAAAATATAAAGATACAATAATGAAGAGTGCTTAAATAAATTACAAATTCATATCAACATTTTTATCATTTTCATCTTCATCATTCAACAGGTATCGAAGTTCAAGTTTTTCTTGTTTGGTAAAGGGTCCAACTTCATTAATTGGAAAAGCGAGTTGGTTCATTTTTTCAGTTACATCTTCAATTTTATCTTCATTTCTTTTAACTTCTTTAGCTAATCGATCGGTACGCCTTTTATTGGAGTTCCAAACGTTTTTGATACTATTTCGCGAGCGGAATTTACCAAATTTCTTTTCCATCTTAGGTTGTAAATCCTTCCATGGTTTATCACCATCTTGACATTTACTTGCCCATTCGCAAATATAATTTTTCTCTTCCTGAGAGTAAGGTGAATGGTCAACTAAATAAAGCGATAAAAGTACATTCAATTCTTCTTAATAAGTAAAAGCATAAATAGAATTTTTAGAACTTACGGTGAGGATCAAGCACATTCCAATAACTAAAATTTATAAAATAAAAAGTTAATTTATTTTTTTTAAAAAAAATCACTCGTAATAAATGAATTGATAACTTACTAGTCACAAATAGCTTTTGAATTATAGTCATAGTCACAACTATCCTTTAATTTTTTAGCCAACATTTTAAAAGGATTACTAGGTTTTCTTCCCCTTTTTATCCAGTCTTTCATATAATCTAATATAATTTTCTTACCCTAAAGAGTAAAAAATAATTTAAGAATGTGAATATTTTTTTTTTTCATTAAATTTTAAATTTGTTCTATAACATACCTCTTCACTTATTGTTTTATGTATTCTATTGGTATTCCCCCTGGCAACATCCTTATTCACTTCTTCAGTACTTTCGCTTTCTTCAACACTCTTATCGTCATCAATTTTTTCGTGGTCAGCAAAGTCGTGGTTTTTCATTTCCATTTTGTGGTCAATATTTTTTATAAATCAGAATATTTTTTTATTGTATATCAATTAATAAAATCAAATTTAAAGTGATATTTTTTTGAACGAAAATAAAGAAGAAGATTTTTTACTCTCTATTCTTATTGTTTATATTTAAATTTTTCGTCACATAAATTACCACAACTATTTATAATAAATATAATAATGTACTTTTCAGTTTTTTATATTAGTTTTTTTGAACTATACTTGATATAAAAACTTTAAAAGTTTTGTTTGTACAAAGAACTTTATCTTTTTTTGATTGTTGAAATTTGGACAATAAAATTTATTCCTTTTTTGATTGTAACTGCCAATCGGTGTGTCAAAACTGTTCTTGACGAAGAATCTAAAATTGATTACTAAAATGCTAAATATAGTTAACTTTGTTTCTCATGTTATGATTAATAAATAAAATGTATAAACAGCAATGACTACCTTGATAGATTTTAGTATTTTTTTTTTTTTTAAAAAAAAACAAATGAGCAAGCAAGAAAATATATAAACTATGTAAATTATGGACCAAAATCAACTGTACATTTTATGTAGTATCCAGATTCTAGAGATTTGTTAAGTCACTTCGAAACATTTATTTCCTATTTAAATGTATCATTCTTCCTATATGCAACATTTAATCATGAGATATAATAAACGGAAAAAGAAGTTTTATTTTATTCTCCCTGCGTAACCAATAAGTTTGATGCAAATACAAATAATAAATAAACAAATGATTTAATTAGTCCGTTATAAATTCCACAATTTATTTCTGTTTATTTGTGGCTGAGTCATTCATCTATTTCCTTTCTATTGATTGTGAACAATAAAATAACAGATCACTTTGATTTTCATCTGAAAGGAAATAGGTGAATGCTATCAAATTATACTAGCCTTTTTTAAAGAAAAAACCCAGGTATTTCACGTACAACCAATTTTCATGTAAAGCTGTTACGGGATTATTTATTATGTATTAGTAATGCATAGCGCAGACTAGTAATTTACTGCATGATTATGTTAAAATAACCCTATAAAAAAATTCTGGAAAAAGTTCCGATAAATGAACATTTTCTAGTTTTCATTCCGAAGAAACTCAGGCATGTGATCATTTTTCTGAAAAATTTTTTATTGGTTAAGTATATATGGCTAATTTCAAAATTTCGCTTCATAAATAATATTATAATTATTATTATCGAGAATTTGCAAAACATGAACTCTACCCAAAATTCTTGATAATAACTTTATTAATTAACGCAGGTAGTATATCTAATACGAATTTATATGCTTTAAATATTAATATTATTAATATTGTTAATACTGCAACTTCTATGACCAAAACCATTTACTATATAATACACGTACTATCTATTGTGATACTCATACCACCAGAAAACGTTAATAGTGGCATACTGGCACTAATCCCTCTCATATCCCTCGAATTACAATTTTCACGTAGTCATTGATCGAATCAACGAGTTCAACAATCTGTTCAACAACTTTGCTGAAACCTATCGATTTTGAAAAATATGGTAAAAGCATTGTTAAAATATGATTTTACATATACATTTCTAACTCCGTTGTAACTCGATAACAGCCAAATGCTGAACATAATTATGTTAAAATACAAGATCAAAATACATTTAATATATGTTAGAAATATGAAATAGGAGTGTTTTGTTATATTGAAAATATGTTGTGTTTTTGTCATTTATCGAAAATTTAAAATACTATATAATTTTTAATATTATTATTCTGTAAAATCTAAAACTTACCAATTCTAAACTTAAATAATAAATAAAAAAATGAAATTGAAGTTACAAGATGAATGAAATTTACCATTTCCACCCAAAATTGAAACCCTCCGCCCTCTGGGATCTACGAAAAAAAAATAAAAAGAAACGTTAACATTTATGTAAATGAAAAACGTGAGTTTCGCAAAAAAAACTTACCGTTTCCAAACTTTAACACCTATAATCGACGCCTGGAGAACCTAAAAAAAATAAAGAAACGTTAGAGACATTTCTGTTAAAAAAAAAATTAGATGGTAAGTTTCTCACCATTTCCAAATAACCATAAACAAAATTTAATGAAAAGCTTAACAACAAGAACTTTTAAAATATTAAAATTCCCGATTGAACCAGTTAAATCTTACAAATAGAATAACATTATTTAACGTATTATTAAAAAATCAAAAAAATGTTAAGTTTCGTTAACTTACCATTTTCATCCTGACCCAGAGATTAGTTCTCGAACCCTACATGAAAAATTTTGGTTTTTTTTTATTTTTTCGGTTTAAAAAACTGAAATTTTTTATTTTTTATTTTTATTTTTTTATGTAAAAATCTTCTTTTTATTAAAGTTCGGGTAATGAAGTTTCGAACTTTTTTACGAAACTCACTTGAGAATACAGTGCCCACGTAAGAATCAATTTCCCTATAAAAACAAAAGTTAAAAGAAAGCTTTTTTTAAAAAAGGTTTCTTATCTGGTCTTATCTGGGCTTCTGGTTCCTGATATTCCACAAAAGAAACAGATAAAAATAAAGTTAAAAAAACTTGATCTCTTTTCGAAACTCACTTGGAATTCTGGTATCAATTTTTCTACAAAAAAAGGGAAAAAAGTTAAAAAAACTTTTTCTTTAAGTTTTGAGTTCCTTTTTTGAAACTTAACTATTCCACATGTTCAGACCCGTCTATAAATAAGAAAAAAACTGAGGTGATTTCTTATCAAAATCTTGTATATGTGTCCAGTCTAAAAAAAGGAAAAAATTAGTACCCGTCTTTAAAAGAAAAAGAAATTAAAAATTAATATACTCACCGAAATCCCGCATCCAAAGAGCAAAAGCTACCTAAAGAGAAAATGGAGTGAAATATTAATAATTGTTTCATAGGCTAAAAACATTCCTCCTTACCCAAAGAATACCGAAATTTAATTATTAACATATGTATATATATTTACATATGTTTAACCTTACGAAAAGCCCTTCCTCTATAAACAGGTTGAGGTACCTATAGGGAGAGAGCCATCGCTGCTGCAAATATATCGTTTTTGATTAAGGAGGTGATGCTTTTTGATTATAGAAGTTAGTTGTACAAACTGTTGTATCGTTTTTGATTATTGAAAAAATAAATGTATCATTTTTGATTATTGAAAAAAAAATTCTATCGTTTTTGATTATTGAAAAAAAATGTATCATTTTTGATTATTCGATAGTATCACATGGTCACATGCATAGATTCGACATACTGTACATATCGGAGACTTTATTCACTAAATAATTTCAAATTACTAAACTTATTAATCGTTATTTTTGTTTCCTTACTATTTACTGTTTCTTGTATATTTTTATTAAGCCATTTAAAACAAAGAATTGCCAACATTCATATGTCATAAATTTAATCCTTATTTTCTCAAAATTTGTCTTTATTACAACTAAAAGACAATAGTATTAATCAATCATCTATTTCATTGCTATGCATATAAACTCCAAATTCAATACTATCATTTAAAATTTCTTTCGCATCTTCAAGTGTTATACTATTATTACGGTCCTCTTGAATCAGACGTAATGTTACTTCTGGTACTAGAACTTCGTAAATAAAATCCATAGGGTCTAATGGGTACGTTTTGTCTTTTGTGAGATTATTAGAGTTAACAAACAATTCTATTAAAGTATTAACAATAGTATATAACCCATTAAACCCATAATAACCTGGCTGTAAATTAGTAAAGCTAATTAATAAAATATAAACAAAATTTATATTCAAACAGATAATTACCAACCTGAAAAACTTCAAATCGATTCATGAGCATCATTGGCGCCTTGGCTTTATTATATCCGACTTCTTTATATATTGAAGATGCAATATCCCAATAGTAACTTGAAATATTTCCGTTAATAATTTCAATGAGATCTTTTTCAAATTTGATTATGCGTGATGGAAGTACATTAAAATCGATATATTCAGGATATCCTTTTGATAATCCATGTGGAACAATATTCAATTCACCATGATGCATTATACAAAAAGACCAACGTTCTTCTTCTGTGATTGGCTTGTTTTGTAGATTTTGTAACTGGTCTTTTATCTTTTCTGGTAAAATATCTGGTAGGATATTATCACAATAGGGGCATAAATTGTGAGAATTAGGTACTAAATCAAATTCTAAATCCAAGTTTAAATCATCATTAGATGGCAGTTCTGGAAGATATTGAAATACATTGCGGGGTGGGCTTGGCATTATAAACGATGATGATGATGCAAATGAAGATGTACTTCTTCTATCTATTAAATAAATATAGGTAAAGAAATTAATAATACAGATATTAATGTTATTACGTTAAATATATATCTTTACCAGTACTAATTGAAGATAAATTATCTTCTCGTTTTCGTTTAAGATTTCGAATTTGTTTTGTTTTCCTTTGTTGTATAGAAAACGTATTACCAGATTGTGATTGGTTTGGTAAATTTATTCTATGGGACGATCGAGGTTTAGCAGATAATTTAGGAGGTGCGCCTAAATTTGATTTTGTTCTTTCACTTAATTCTGCTGGCCGAAATGGATCTTTAATCTCCTGAGATGACCGTTTAAGTGGATAAAATATTTTATTACCTAATGAGCAAAAGTAAGATTAATATAATAAATAACAATAATAATTTTTAAAAAATTATTTCAAACATCTTACCTTGCATATTATATAATCTAATAATTTCTTGATAAGAATCTTCCATGTCACCTTGATATATTACATTATTTTTTATAGACGCGGGAACTACTCGTTCCTTATTACGAAAATAGAGAACAAGATTTTTCTTTGCTTCGTTTACAACTTCTAGATGTCCTTTTTGTTGTGTTTCTATAAGCAAAGTGGCTGCATGACAGTGCCTACATTTATCACGTAATGAACTATTCCATATGTATTCCCAGCATGTACATTCACCAGTAATAACATTACATATATGAAATCCTTGTTCTAATATTACATTTTCGGATAATAAAGATTTCATAAGAAAATTGATCATATCATTTAATTTTCGTACAATTTCCTCATCTAGACGCAAAGGCTTATCATCATAAGAAGATACGAATAAATCATCAGATTTTTTTTTAACAAGAAAAGTATTTTGGTCTGATGATATCTTAACCATATTAAGAAGAAAATCTAATCTTCCTTGATTTAATCTTCGAAGTTTATCACAACATATCATATCATCTTTAGTTTGCTATAAATAATTTAAAATAAATTAATTTAATAATATTATTTAAAAATGATAACGAAAAAATTCTTACCTGTTCAATCGTTTGAGTATTGAATAAAGTAACTAAACCAGATTCAAACTTATTTAAATCTTCATGACTTACAATAGTTTCACTTTGAAATTTTATTCCATACATTCGTTCAACAAATGTCAATGGTGTTTGTTTACCACTATATACTGCTTCAATTGTCCTATTGATCCGTTCTGTAAAATTGTTCGTAGTCCATGGAAATCTGTTTGTAATGTTTTTGGAAATACGACCAGCATCAATAAAACTTAATTTCCACTCCGTGCACATCCAATTTTTAGATAAATCATCTATTAATTTATCTTTTTTAGTTTTTTCCAATGGAAGAGTGTTAATAAATTCGATATATTTCTTAGCCATTTCAATGGCAGTTTCTTCAGTTCGACTACGACCTACAATTTTAAACGCTAATGCTATTGGATATCTAAACAATAAATAATTAATTAGTTATCAATTTTAATAAAAAAAAATTAATATAATATATAACTTACCTGAATTTTGCAGGTATCTGCCATTTATTTAAATTTTCACTAAAAGTTTTCATAATATGAAACCAACATAAAATTGGTTTATGTGAAGCATTTTGGATAGCAAGTTTAGATGGTCTATGCTTATCAATTAAGATATATGGCTTCCAATTATTGTTTTGACATTCACGAACTCGTTGAAATCCGTTTCCAGATAAAAGATTTTCATAGTACCACTTGTGTTCACAGAACTCGTTATCACATGGGATATTTTTTTTAATAGCGTCAATAGCCAATTTTATAGTATGATGATTTTCCTTATTAAATAGCGCTAATATATATATTTTATTTACAATTTAATAAATTACAATAAATTATATACTAAATAATTTAATATATGTTAAATTTTACTTACCAAATGCAACAGGCAATCCGCAACCAGCACTATTCTCAGTGACAATTGATAATACCGGTGCACGGTCCAAATTTAAATCATATTTACCATCTATTCCGATACAGATTTTACCGTAATCACGAGCATTTTTTAACCAAAACTCATCAGAAATTGTAAGTTGATAATATCGGTCAGGTGAATCAGCTGGTTGATTAATGTCTGCTATTTGATAATATAATATAAAACCTTGAGATTTTAATATATTATTTACTAAACTATCAAGCTGAGTCCTAGGACCAGTATCATCCTTTAATTTCTTATCATCTCTGGCAACAAATTGCCTGAGTTTGTCATTATTACATATTATACGTTGGCTTGCTAATGCATTGTTAATTACTTCTTCTGATGCACCATTAAGTGATGTTAATAATTTCGCTTTTATCCCTTTGGCTGTCCTGTAGTCTGCTCTTCTGCTTAATGCTATCGAATCTCTGACAGAATAAGTTAAATTTATTCTTGAAATTTTAGGAATATTATTATTGTAAAATGTACGATGAGTTCCTTGAATGGTAATTCGCAATGGATTTTCTAATGATAGCCAAGATAACCGACATTCAGAAATAACTCTGACACTACAATGGTGCATATCATTTCCATTTTTCAAATTATTTCGTAAATTATAATTTTCACAATTTTCATTACATTTTCCAACACTACCGCATAATCTTTGACAGTTGCCTCCATCACCTGAACAATACATAACCCAATACCAACATTGTTGGTTTTTGGCTAATCCTAATTCAATTTGAGAAACCAGATCTCTTCCTAAACTGGTTAAAACTAAAACATCATCAATACGATTTGTTGATTTTACCGTTCCAGTTTTAGTTTTCTATGCTAAGTAATCTATTGCCCCTTGTACACGTTCTACTGTTAAGATTCCAGCTTTAACAAGTTTAGGAGTAACTTGTCTACTTTGATTTTTTAATCGATAATTTTTTAAAAGATTTGCATTTGATATATACCATTCTGCAGCACGACCAAATGGTACATTTACTGAGCCATCATCGTTGTATTTGATTTGATTTTCGTAAGTTTCCATATTATAATATATAGTAACGTTACACAAATTTATAGAAAGAAAATTATTACAAATAATTATCACGTAAAAAATATAAACAAGGTTATAAAACGCAAAATATATTATAAAAACTATTATATAATAAAGAAAAAAATATCAAAAGAGAAATCAAAATTTTTGGAAAAGAAAAAGAATTGAACCATTTGTCGTGTGAAAAGTATTATGTGAACGCGTTAAATGTTATACAATGATACATTAACTTGTTAAGTATAAATTAAATAAATAAAACGTGATACTATCGAATAATCAAAAATAATACATTTTTTTTCAATAATCAAAAATGATAGAATTTTTTTTTCAATAATCAAAAATGATACATTTATTTTTTCAATAATCAAAAACGATACAACAGTTTGTACAACTAACTTCTATAATCAAAAAGCATCACCTCCTTAATCAAAAACGATATATTTGCATCGCTGCTACCTCCGCCTGTTTATAGTGATATAAGAGTGAAATTAGTAATTTAACAAATGGTTAAAAAATCATTTATAAACTTAATTTATAAAATATTTTGACCATATTTTTATAGTATTATAGTAATATTTTTGAAATATTTGTTTTTATTTTTTTTGTTTGCGTAATTATCATTAAATTATATTAAGTGTAGCTCTAAACTTTAAATTTCAGCATATATTAAAGATATTATATTAATAATATGTTGAGTATATTTGTCAGTAATATGTTTATCACATTTTCAAAATCAATAGGTTTCTGTAAAGAGTCTGAACCTGTCCAGCAATAATTTTTGATACTACAAGAACGCAACCTACTCAAATGTATTGTATTTGATGTAAAATATGAGATATGACGGCGTTCTTAATATTAGAATAATCCTTGACCAATCACATGCATCACTTAAAAATTACTTTATCTTTTTAATTCTTCTTTATTCTTTTCTTTTTTCTTGAACTTTGGCTGCAACTATTTTAATTTATTTCGATAGGAAAAGTTATAAGTTATATCTATTTACATATTTATATTATTATTACTTGGATGTAGTTATAATTACAATTAGGACATTTTTTACGAAGCAATGGCATCCTAGTAATTAGCACTATCACTTGAATAATAATTACCAATTTGTCACAAATCTCACATTGTACTTATTATAGGTTAAAATTTTTGCTGTGAAAGTTATAAAAAAAAGGAAATATAAAGAGATACAAATAAAGAAGAAGAGCAATTAAAATAAATTATCACTTTAAATCCATATTATAATATATCATTATCATTTTCATCATCATCATTCAACAGGTATCGAAATTTAAGTTTTTCTTGATTGGTAGAAGGTTCAATTTTATTAACTGAGAAAGCGAGTTGGTGCAATTTTTCAGGTACACCTTCAAACTCATTTTCATATTTAATTTCGCCTTTATCTTCATCATTATTATCAATTAAACTTTTATCTTCAATTTCATTATTATATTCAATTTTATCTTTATCTTCAATTTCAAATTTGTCTTTAATCGTATTAAATTCACCTCTTTCAAATATAGCCAATCGATCATTCCGTCTTTGACCAGCGTACCAAACGTTTTTGATACTGTTTCGCGAACGAAATTTACCAAATTTCGCTTTCACCTTAGGTTGAATATCCTTCCATGGAATAGGGCCGTTATTTGTTCTTTGATATTCTACAACCAATTCGCAAATATAATGTTCCTCTTCCGGGGAGAAAGATGAACGGTCAACTAAATAAAACGATAAAAGTCAATTCAATTCTTAATAAGAAAAAAACATAAATAAAATTTATTAAAACTTGCCGTTAGGATCAAGTATGTTCCAGTAACTGAAATTTATAAAATAAAAAGTTATTTTTTTTTTTTAAAAAAAAAAACCACTCGTAATAAATGAATTGATAACTTACAAATGACAAAGTGCTTTAGAGTCATAGTCTTGGCCACAACTATTCTTTAATATTTTAACCAATTCTTTAAAAACATTACTAGGTTTTCTTCCCCTTTTTAACCATTCGTCCATATGATCTATTATAATTTTCCTACCCTAAGAAGTAAAAAATTAATATTTTAAAAAGGTGAGAATATTTAATTTTAAATTCGTTTCATAACATACGGCTTCGTCTATTGTTTTAGTTAATCTATTGATTTTACGGCTATTACGAATTTTATATTTTTTTGGTTTGCGGTTGTAATCAATGTCACTTTTATTGTCTTCAGTACTTTCGTCGTCGTCTTTAACACTTTCATTGTCATCAATTTTTTCGAGGTCTTCCACATTTTGGTAAACAAAGTTATAGTTTTTCACTTCCATCTTGTGGATAATATTTTTTTTTATAATAAGAATATTTTTTATCAATTCATAGAAACAAATTTATATTTTTTTAAACGAAAATAAAGAGGAAGAAATTTACTTTCCCCAACCTGAAACTTTATTTACAGTTACATAATATAATGGCTTTTTTTATTGTTAAATTATTACTATATTTAGTAGTTAGTACAAAGGATTTAATCCTTTTTTGGATTGTTTGATTGTGAATTTAGACAATGAAATTTATTCCTTTTTTGATTGTAAACTCTGCAAACTGCAAGAATAATCACGTGATCATAATTAAAACTGCTCTCCGACAAATTGATCACCAAAATGTATGAAAATATAGTGAAATTGTTTCTTATGTTATTATGAACAATTGAAGCCAAAAAAAGCAATGAATTCTTTGAAGGATTATAATATTTTTTTAAATTGGTTTTTATTTGTTATTCTGTTTAGGAAAACAACTGAACCCTACTTATAAAAAAAAAATAAAGGATGGTAATGAATGATCGACCGACCGACCATCAAAATTGGTAAAATAATTACATACCATTTTTATTCATATGTCACATTTATTCCTCAAATAAACATATCACAGGAGTCTTGGCAGATACATAATTAGCATTATATGCAATTAACAATGGTAAATTTATGGGTTAGAGTTTCATTTAAAAAAAAATTGGAAAATTCCATTGTACAGTCAAGAAAAAAGAATCAAAGAATTTTATTGTACAATCTGTACAATCAAAAGAAGTTTCCATATTCTTTTTTTAAAAAAAAGGTAATTGTATCAGAAATTGTAATGTTTTACAACAGATTTTTGAGACTGATGTTCATATAAGAACTTTATTATACAAATGACTACGTTGCTGCTGCGGCTGCGGCAATGTCATAATTTTTGTCTTTCATGCGGTAAATCAGGCTTTCGACCTTGTTTTATCATCAATGTCATACTGTATCATGCGCGGCTGCGGCTGCGGTCCTTGTGTGTGAGACTTCGGCCTTGTTTTTCCGTCTTTTATTAAAAGTTGATATTTATATTAGAGCTTATAAAGAATAGTATTATTACTATTTATTAAATAATACTAATACAAATATTATTACTATTTATTAATACTAATACAAATATAAGAAATATAAATTCTTTTTATTTCATGTTTAATAAAAAGAATTTAACGAACGTACTGTAGTTTTTAGATGATTGTCAACAGTATATATAGTAATATATTTTACAAATGTGTAAAAGTAATACTATAGTAAATGTTTTAAAATTGAAGCAATGGGTTTTGGATTTTATCTAAGATCAGCATTACGTTGCATCCTTAAATAGATGATAAAGATCCTTTACCCCTCAGTTTCAGGATAAAAAAGTAAATATACTGACAAATTCGAAGTGTATTTATTCCTTAAATAAACATATTACCGGAGTTTTGGCAGATAAATAACTAAACATAGTTAATAACTTTTCTCCTGTATTTATATATATTATTTTAAACCAAAAAAATGTATAAAATACTGAATCAAAGAATTTAATTTTTTTTTTTCATGAAAAAAAAATTATGAACAAACCAAAAAAGAGGCAATCAAGAAAGCAACGATCAAAAAAGATAGAAACAAAAAAGATAGAATTAGTACGTATTAAATTTTGTTTTTTTCTTTTCTTTTGAGAAAAAAAAATATTTCTTGCCAATTTTTCCATTTCATTTTTTTTTTTCATTTTTTTTTTTTTAAAAAAAAAAAAATCTTGTAGATTGATAACGAGATTATAAGTGCTATGAATGAATATAAAGCTATGCCAAACTGCTACGTAATGATTAGTAAAAAAATCAATAAAGGATTTTCCCCAAAGCAAATTCGTCAGCGGTAAATATTCAAATTATTATAATTTAATTATAATTTAATTTTTCTTTGCGTAAAATTTATTTTATTTTATTCATAATTTAGATGGATAAGTCAACTCGATCCACGTCGTAAGTAAATTGTACCTAATTAAAGTTCTTGATTTGATTGTAACTCGATTATAAATTTTCTTTGTAGTTTGTCAATGGCCACTCGATAATAATGAAAAATTTTACATTATCCACTGGGTTGAAGGATATAAAATTAAGAATCCATCTAAGAACATTAACTGGAAAGAATTAATTTTTGAGATGGAAAAAAAATTCGGTAAATTTCGTTCAGAAAGTAAAGTGAAAAATTATTATTCCTCAACGTTAAAACAAAGACGGAAAAGACAATTACCTTCAAATGATAACGTATTCAATCAAAATAATAATGTGCCAACAACCGTATTACCTTCACCTCAAGATATTAACGTTCCAAAAGGCTATCTTCATGATATTGACTTTCCAATAATTAAAGGTTCTGACCGGATAAAAATTAAAAATTTGTTAAATTGATAAATAATACATTCTAATTAGCTTAAAAAACAATCATGTTTATACGATATATATATATTTTAAATCGACAAAAATGAAGATTAAATGTGCTTTGAGCTATTTTAATTTTTTTAATTATTTTTCGAGTATAAGAAAATGAATTGTAACTGTATATATTCTTAAATTTATATGCTTAGATTTTATATGCTTAAACATTAAATGCAGTAAGTTTACATTTGTGAGTTTACTCATATATAATTCAAATGTAAACTTTTTAATATTATTTATGAAACATATTTGTTATTTATAAATTACCCTTCGTATTTTTAATTTGTAAAATTATTCTTTTTTTATTCGCAAAAATGAAATTTTATTAAATATTTAAAAATATTGTGTCTTTTAAATATTTCCTTCCAATTGTTCTAGCTATAGTAGAGATTATACAGTATATCAACAAGTAAGATAGATTAATTCTGTTAAAAGGTACTGTTTTCCCGTTAAGTAGGGAGAGATAAAGACCCTAAAGAATAAGCTTCTAAACGGTAAAGAAACAGACATTAATAAACGTTTCGTTATGGAAGTAAATAAATAAAAATTGCCCTACCAACTACTTGTCCAGACCCGTCTAAAAAAAGTAAAGAAGTCGGAAAAGAGAACAAGAGAGCGAAAGAGAAGGAGGAAGTTTCGTTAGAGAAAAGATTTTTAAAAAATATAGTGATCACTGGAACTGCGGTTATTAAAATGTAAATCATATGATACATGTCGTTAACCGAAATTAGATTTTTTTTATAAATCCTAAGGATTAAATTAAGGATCCACTAAACTATAGAATCCTTTAGGATCTTGAAGCTTTAAAATTCAAAATTTTAGGATTCCGATCTTTAAGGTATCTAATTCTTAATACAGTTAGAATAAGATATACTGTAATTTTATTGGCTATGATATTATCAGACCTGTCTATAATCACCCCATATATAATCACATCCTGTTTATTATCACCAAATTTCAATGTCCCAAAAATCATATGATACTATTTATGATCACTGACCCTCATATGCTAATCACTTATTTTATTTTTTATTTACATAGTAGCACCGTATAACAAGAATAGAATCAACTAAAACTAAAAACCCCTAAGACTTCTAAAAGGGACCCGATCAAAATACCGACAATCAAAAGACCGACAGGTACATGCTGGCCCGCATTATGGATAATCCTGCCCAGATGTGTCGGTCTTTCGCCATTTTATTTATTGTGTTTTTTTTTTGGATTAGGCTATTAGGGCAGGTTAATCAAAATTTTATTACTATTACTTGTTACGCTCACGCACTACACTCTTCCTAACAGAACTTATTTGAACAGGAGATGATGTTTATTGCTTTATCCTCTTAATAATTAAATAATTAGTAATTATTTCATTTTTATGATATTTTTACTTCGTTGCGAATAATTAAAAAAAAAATTCTTTTTAGATTTTAATAAAATAACTGACTCTTGATGGTTGCAACAATCAACTAACAAATAATCCGTGTAAGATTCTTAAAAAATTTTTTGTTTTAATGATAAAAATAGAGTTACACAATTATCGTTATTTTTTTAGAACAAACATCATAATCGCATGCAATGTCGACATATTTTCATAAACGAGATAATATTAAATAATAAAGAAATATCCCATATATAATGCGAAAACAATGTAAATTTAAATTTAACGATAATAACTGAAAGTGAGATTATCACATTTCACAATAAACTTTGTTTGATGCCATTTATTATGAATATACCTCGATTTCGCTTCTTACCAAGTAATAAAAAAAATTAATAACAAATTAAAAATCAAGCAAATCAAAACAAATCAATTCTCAAAAATCTTTCACCTCTCGATCTTACAATCAATATTTCATAATGCAAACAATAACCGTTGAGCACAAAAATGAGAACATTTTAAGAAGAAATGACCCTTCAATGAAATTTTAATTAGCTGGTGAAGAAATTTTACAAGATAAAATTATAAATTGAACAAATAAATTTTAGACGTTCAAAGTTAAAGATAGATTATCATTCATTTTATTTTATTTATTTTCCATCATTATCCCTTTTCTACGCATAACATTGTTCGTTTTTAATAGTCAACATAAGTTTCACTAATTAAATATGTCCCTCTAACACATCCCAGCACGTGATCGTAGAAAAAAAATAACGCAGTGCAACTGATAGATACTGATGGATTACGGAAACGGAAAGGAAGAAACAGTGATGACAAATAAAATCTATTATTAGAAGCGACTGATTAACTTTTTGGTAAAATCAATCAATAGTAATTAAAATAGGTTGGATTTACGGGACCTTTCTCAGCAACACCAACAAATTTTCTACTCCCACGTGACCTAAAATATTCATCACCGGGATCACACCCACCGCGTTTGGTGTATAAACATAATAAACATAAATGAAAATAATGAATAGTTGAAAACACAGTAAACAAGATTAGGAAAAAAGATTTAAACCTTAGAATTTAAAATAATTCAATTGATCAAATCGAAAGAAAAATTTATATTGAACTGCATAAATAATTATAAATTAAATATTCTTAGATGCGTTGTCAGACTTCCAAAAATCCATTTTCTCGACATATCCTTTATTTTCCCAACAACAATTTCCCAACAAGACAAATTCCTGAGTGGAAATTTCCACAAAAAGCATTTTTTCCCAACATGATGTTATCCCGACATGAAATTTTCCCAAAATCAAATTATTAAAAATGTAAGTATATAATATCTAACAATAAATAACACATTATAACTGATAGATCGCAAATATTTAATTATTGATTATAAAATATTGTTTTGCGAGACTACACAAACAATGTTTTACAAATAGATATACAAAATAAACTGAGCAAAACAATCTATTTAGAAAATAATTGTTATCCATTTCATATTAATACTATCTAATACTTTTAAATATAAATTAAGATTTCGTTAATGTTAATTTCATTTATAATACTTCAAATTAATAAATTTGACGATATTCCTAAATTGTTAAATTTCATGAAATTTTTAACAGTAAAATTCCATAAAGAATTGATTGAAAAGTTTTTCATAAGATCATTAATATTATTTATTATATAAAAAATTTACTTGGGCAATTCGGGAAAATGTCCATTCAGGAGAAAATGGACATCGAGAAATCATTCCGTAACCATTTCAATCGAGAACATATGTCTAGAAGCTCCTTTAACAATGCAGTTTAGTTTTCCCATACAAATTTTTGAATGCTCTAACAGCCTAACTGTTATCACTTTTTTTAAACCATTTTTGGTAAGACTCCTAGTAGTTAGCTGGAACATATTTTATTATGGTAAAAATGTTTTCAGGATTAGGAAATAAATATTTTTAAGAGGTCAAAGATAATAAACAAGTTAAGAAAAAAATACATTAAGCACAATATTTGTTTTCGGTATAAAATTTGTGCGACTAAAATAACTTCAATTTTAGCAATCTAGGGTACACAAGTGGTACACAATGTACAAAAATAGGTTGCCTTTAATAAATGTGTTAACTCATGTGACTCAGGAGTCTGGATTAACGAAATATACACCATATTATATGGCAAGCCATTCAAGTCAAAAGTCCGCCGCTATTGCAGCAGGTACCTGTTGCTTTCGCGGCAGGTACCTGCTAGATTTGCAGCAGGTACCTGCTGAATTTGCGGCAGGTATCTGCTGGATTCACGGCAGATACCTGCTAGAATTGCGGCAGGTACCTGCTAGATTTGCGGCAGGTACCTGCTGAA